CTGAGGTTTCGGAGAGGACCCAGAGGTGATGGAGGACGAGTGCAGCCCCTTCTTAGGATGGGGTCCTGGCATAGAGCCTCATTTTGCTGCTTTCCTGGTTTCTGGCAGGCTTGAGCATGGCGGCGGAAGGGGACACCTTGGTCTCAGTGGATTATGAAATTTTTGGGAAGGTTCAAGGGGTGTTTTTCCGCAAGTACACTCAGGTATGTGACCTACAGGCTTGACGAGGTGTCGGGGCTCATGACTAGGTGATGGACATGAGGCCTGGTTCTGACAAATGGGAATCCGGAGAGGCTGCCTTTTTGGTAGCTTCAAGGGGATAGCTGCGGCTGGAGATGAGCGGTGGACAGAGACTTCTTTGCAGTCTGTAAAACACGATGCAAATGCAAGGGGCTCCTGACTGGTCTCAGCTCCAGATACTCTTCTGAAGGAGTATACCCCCAAGCACCCTGTAGTCACTTTTAGAGGAAAGCTACCGTCGAGATGGAGAGGCCATTAGGTGGATTGATCACACTGATATAACTTATGTAATCACCCATCCTACCCACCACAAGTTTATTCCTCCAACTTCCTCTCAACACCTCAATTTTTTTTCCCCATCCTGGGACTCAAACCCAGGGACTTGTGCATGCTATGCAAGCACTACCAGCTAAGCTACTTCCCCAGCCCCTCACTTAATTCCTTTCTGTTCCTTTTTTTCTTTGAACAAGAACATTTTCTTTTCTTTTTCTTGTTTTGCTTTGTTTTGTTTTGTTTTTTGAGGCAGGGTTTCTCTGTGGCTTTGGAGACTGTCCTGGAACTAGCTCTTGTAGACCAGGCTGGTCTCGAACTCACAGAGATCCTCCTGCCTCTGCCTCCCGAGTGCTGGGATTAAAGGCTTGTGCCACCAACACCTGGCAGAACATCTACCTTTTTTAATGTAAGTTTTCCTGATTAAAATGCCTAATCATGCTGGGCATTGTAGCACATGCCTTTGAGACAGGTGGATCTCTGAGTTCGATGCCAGCCTGGTCTACATAGTGAGTTCAGTATATCAAGGACTGCACAGAGAAACCCTGTCTCAAAAAACAAAAACAAAAACAAAAACTATCCATTCCAGCATAGGTGTTAACATGGAAGGTGAGTCTGGTATTCCCCTTACCGTAATGGGGAGTACTTGAGGGAATGAACAAACTCAGCAGCCCCTCTCTCTGTTTCTCTGCTACTAATCTCACCCATGGACCCCTACGATTAAGATGTAGGGTCTGCAGACCTTTCTTCCAAGTGTCATATTGCTGGGACTGTGATGCTAAAATTTCAAATCTGAATCTTTGAAAGAGGGATGTCAGTTGTCAGTACCTCCTATTTAGTAAATCTGCTTTTCTGTTTTTTATTCATTTGTGAAGCCCCTGTCAAATGCTGAAAATCATAGCGATGTTTGAGTTAGCTTTACTACTGGTTGTTGTACAGGGTGGGTTCCTGTGATTTAGTAAATGGTGGTGACATGCTCAAAGAAGAATCAAAGTTGTTGAGGAAAAGGGAACAGATATTTTAGGCATCTTTCTCTACCTGCCCCCACTTTACCCCCAGTTTGGAGACAGTTTAGAATACAGAAAAGCAAATACCGATTATGGACATGCTGTTTTCCTTTCTTTTCTGAGACAGGGTTTCTGTGTAGCCCTGTAGACTAGGCTGTCTTCAAACTCAGAGATCTGCCTACCTCTGACTCCTGAGTGCTGAGTTTAAAGGTGTGTACCATCACCTCCCATCTTCTAGGATTTTTCTCTTTCTTTAGATTTCTAAGCATCTGTTTTTGCTTTTTAATTTTTTGTTTTTGCCTTTTGGTTTGGGGTTTTTTTTGTTTGTTTGTTTGTTTGTTTTTGAGACAGGGTTTCTTGTATAACTGCCCCAGCTGTTCTGGAACTCACTTTATAAACCAGGCTGGCCTCCAACTTACAGAGATCCACCTGCCTCTGCCTCCTGAGTGCTGGGATTAAAGGTGGGCACTGCCACCCAGCAACTTTATTTTTTAAATCAATTTAAAAAATTTTTGTGCATTTATATTTTGCCTGTGTGTATGTCTGTGTAAGAGTGTTGGATTCCCTGCAACTGGAGTTACAGACAGTTGTGAGCTGTCATGTGGGTGCTGGGAATTGAACCCAGGTCCTCTGGAAGAGCAGTCAGTACTTTTAACCACTGAGCCATCTCTCCAGCCCCCACAGGGTCAACTTTAAAGACACTGTGATTACTTACTTGTTAGACAGAAGAAAAGAAATATTAGGAAAAGGGACAGCAGGGTTGGAAAGAGGACTGCCATTCCCCTTAGAAGTAAGCTTTACTGGGAGAGCCTTGTGACTATGGGGCCAGGCCTTGAGGTAGGAGAGCAGTATGAAATATAGTACATCAGATCAAGCAACATGACAGGTTTACAGGCTTTCTGGTAAGGTGGCTCAGTATGTAAAGACACTTGGCGGGCTAAGTTCAATCACCCACAAGGTGAAAAGAAGGAACAGACCTCTGCAAGCCGTCTTCTGACCTCCACACTTGTGCTACCTGGTAGGCATGCCTCACCCTCATAAATAAGTAAATGTAATTAGAGAGTACATTTTATAATGGAGAGAAATATCATTAAGAAAGATAACTTAGGAGCCTGGGGAGGTGACTCTGCAGCCCATACCATTCTTCCAAAGGACTCAGGTTCAGCTGCCAGAATGCACATAGGGTGCTTCATAACCACCTCTAATTCTAGCTCCAGGGGACCTGGCACCACCCTCTCCTGGACTCCACGGGAACTAGCACTCAACATCTATGTACTACACCCCCACTATATATGCATAATTTAAAATATTTTTTTAAAAACATAGAGAGCCACCACAGATGGAACTGTCAATGAAATCCCCCCAAACAAAGGAAAATATCTTTTATGTCCTTTCATTAACAGAATTTGTCAAGTAAGTTATTTTTAGTGATTTAGTTTAGGATAGCCTACAGGATAAAGAAGGAGCCAGGCCTGGATAGGACCATATATTAGGGGCTCTGTGCTATGAGGCTGTAACACAACAGAGAGCTGCAGCAGGGACATGGCCTGATTTCTCCAGGCTGGCTGGCTGGTCCCTGAGAGCAGCCCCACAACCTAACAAGAAGGTCAAATGGAAACCTGATAGTTGCAGGGCCTTGTGAACCCTTTAGTGCTCAGAGCCGACTCACAGCTGCTTCCCTTCTCTACCAAGTTGGACAGAAAGTGGGCTTTGGGTACAATGTAAACATGTTGGGTTAAAGAGTCCTCTGCAGGAAAAACAATGGTTGTGTTGCTCAGGAAATTGTGAAATGCTGTGTAATGATCTTTTAAGATAGAATGGATCACTTCATCTGGATTTAGTTAGGTGTGGTCCTGGCTAAAGCCAAAGGATCAAATAACTGCAAGCTTTTTCTAGTTAATACACCCAGTAGCTTGCTGATTAAGAGAAGAGAAAATGAGGGTTGGGGTCTAGCTTTGAGCTATTGTGCTTGCCTAGGTAGCATGTATAAGGCCCTAGGAGGATCCCAGTACTGCCTAAACACTTTATAAAAGTCATTGTCTCTCCTCCCACTTCAATTTACTTGGCTGGGCATAATAATGCACACGTATAATCTCAGCACTCAGAAGGCAGAAGCAGGAGGATACCTGGAAGACAAAGGCTAGTCTGGACGACCTGATGAGTTCTATCTAGGTCAGTCAAGGCTTCATAGTGAGGCTGTCTCAAAAAAAGAAAAGAAAAGAAAAGAAAAAAATGAATAAGCTGCAAGCTCAGGACCCTAAAACAGTCAGCCTTAGGAAATCCTTTTAAAAGCATCTTTCTGGGGCTAACTCTTCAGTAGTTAACCACATTTATTACTACATAATGGAAATTTTGAATTCAACGCTGAGTTTTATAGCATAAAATAGGGAAATGGAATCAAGTGGCTAACACTTGATGTTACAATCAGCCATGGGATCCTCCTTGGTGTCTGTTTTGATTTTTCTGGACTATGTCAAATTAGTTTCAGTGGTTTGATTCCAGGCCAACTTCTGGCCACAAACTTTGTATTTTGCAATCTCACTGGGTCGCTCTTTCTCTTTTCTCCCCACTTAGGCTGAGGGTAAAAAGCTAGGTTTGGTAGGCTGGGTCCAGAACACGGATCGGGGCACGGTGAAAGGACAACTGCAAGGTCCCATCTCCAAGGTGCGCCCCATGCAAGAATGGCTGCAGAGAAGAGGAAGCCCCAAGTCACACATTGACAGAGCAAACTTCAACAATGAGAAGGTCATCTCAAAGTTGGATTATGCAGATTTCCAAATTGTAAAATAATGACCTGCATTTTCATTTTTTCCAAAAATCACCTCACTTCTTTTTATTGATACAGAACTATTCTGTGCTTAGAATTTGTCAGTAAGTTATTTTAGCTGTCAAAGTTACTGTGTATTACATGTATGATGAAATACAATTGTGTACAATTCTGACCAATAAAAACACATTAGCACCTTGAGTTTACAGTGCTTACATGATGTATTCAATCAGTGTCGTGAGAGCAAGATTTTGAGGTAGTTTAAAGAGGTCTGAAAGAGGAACGACTTTGCATCATTTCTTTAAATTGTTTACACAGTTTCTTTAGGGGACTTGATGTGTGGTAAGGGCAAAAGCCACCAGGTCAGGGTGGAAGTAAGTGTTCAGATGATGTGTCGGACTAACTACTTTTGGCTTTCAGGGTCTTGGAACATCTACTGTAATTCCTTTTCCAGGGGCTAGAAAGTCACATAAAGTAGTTTTGGGCTGGACTATGCTCCCTCACCTCATTTGTACGCTCAGACCCTAACCCAAGTACCAGTCCTACTCGACTGCTAACTGACACACAAGTGTGTGAGCACAAAAAATGTGAAGACAGCCAGCTACAACCTAACAAGAGGCCTCAGAAGAAATCCAGGCTGATGCCACTGGGGGTGGGGAGGGATGACTGCTACTCAAGCCACACAGCCTGTGGCCTTTTGTCACAGAGCTCTGGTAAACTGAACAATAATCAGAATCTTGCTTCATCGCTCCCAGAAGTCTGATTTGAGTTGATTAGTAATTAAGCAAATATACACTTATTTTAAAATTTGTCATAAGTTCCATTAAAGGGAGGAGGGTTGGCCTGGAGAGATGGCTCAGCACTGGTAATGGTTAAGATGGGTAAGAGTACTGGTAGCTCCTCCAAGGTCCTGAGTTCAATTCCCAGCTCACAACTATCTACAGGTGTAGTCCCACAGGATCGGATGGATGCCCTCTTCTGGTGTGCAGATATACATGCAGACCAAAATCCATATATGTAAAATGCACAAATTAAAAAAAAACAAGGTTTCAGGGCCCAGGGGAGGAGTTTTCAATGAAACTGAGACAGAGGCAAAAACCTGAGGAAAGGCTAATGATTCCCATGATTCCCGAAACATTCTCACTGTGCTGGTAAGAGCTCTATTCTCCTTCAGTTAGGAAAAGGCAGTGATGGTATTGGGAAGATTAAAAAAGATAATAATTGAAGGTAATCCTGTCGTCCTGATTTGCAATTTAAGAGGGCTGTGGGAGGAGGAGGAGGCAGGCAGATCTTGAAAAACCAAGAGACAGGGAGAGGAGGGGAGGTCTAGCTTCTCGGCATTAATTTTTTTTTTTTCCTAAAACATGGTTTCTCCGTCTAACAGTCCTGGCTGTCCTGGAACTCTCTTTGTAGACCAGGCTGGCCTTGAACTCACAGAGATCCGTCTGCCTTTGCCTCCCAAGTGGTGGGATTAAAGGCGTGCACCACCAACGCCCGACTCTCGGCTTAATTCTAAGAACGTTCTGCATTCTCTGAATGTCCACTTGCCACCAGGACACCGCAGTAAACAAAACCAAACCCTACCTCACACAGTTTGCAATCTAATGAACAAAGACTAAGGAAACAAGTAAAACATGTCGAACTAAAGTTAGTACATGCAAAGGAGAAGAGAACGAGAAAGGGAACAAAGCGAAGCTTATTGGAAACAGCCCACCACCCAAGACCAAGAGACCAAGGCGCTGGCACTAATTGCAGGCAGCCAGGTGAAACGGCTTCAGTCCTCAGCGGGGCCACCTCGGCGCCTGCGCACTAGACGTCGTGCGGGAGCGGGCTCGCGGCGTCTCGAAGGCGCATGCTCTGGAGCGCGCGTCCGGCGGCGGAGGCGGTTGGTGCCTGAGAGTTGAGGGAGGCGATTCGAGGTGATGGGGGAAAGCACGTGTTGAAATATGGTCCCGGGAGCTCGTGTAACACCAGCGGAGCTGAGCTGACGGCCGCGGGCCCGCGGGAGGGGCCTC